ATGAAATATAAATAATAATGTTATACATATTGTTCTCTATTCTGGTTATACAAGTAATGTACAGCACCATCCAGTCTCTAGTTCATATTTTTGCCACTAGAGTAAGCCACGCCCCAGCCAGAGATCCCAATACTACAAAGCCACTCCTCATAAATAATAAATAAATAAAATATAAATAATTATGTTATACACGTTGTTCTCTATTTTGGTTATACAAGTAATACACAGCACCATCCAGTCTATAGTTCATATTTTTGCCACTAGAGTAAGCCACGCCCCTGCTAGAGATCCCAATACTACACAAACCACTCGTCATAAATAATAAATAAATAAAATATGAATAATAATGTTATACACGTTGTTCTCTATTTTGGTTATACAAGTAATGCACAGCATCATCCAGTCTCTAATTCATATTTTTGCCGCTAGGGTAAGCCACACTCCAGCCAGAGATCCCAATACTACAAAACTACTCCTCACACTGTATTAATTTACCGTCGTGAGACTTTCTGTACAAAACGCGCGTATAATTGCAATTTAAAAACTGTACGTTAGTTTTGATACGGATTCATGGATTCAGTATAAACATATAATGCGTGCGAACACATTAAATGAATTGAAAAATCCTGTTGCAAATATAAAAAAAAAAAAATAAAAAAAAATGATTGAATACTGAACGAAAGGTGGTATCCAACTGTTGAATATACTACTTTCATAATACAGGGATTTAGCCTTTTATTATATTAATTATAGTCACTCAGAATTCTCGTATTATACCCTCGGGCTTACATTTTCCACGATTACTGAAAAAAATGGGTCATTGCCAACGGTATAATAACCATCTTATATGTCATTTTTATCTTTATTATTTCTCTCTCTCTCTCTCTCTCTCTCTCTCTTTTTCTTTCTCTTATCTGCAGGTACCAGATGTTAACAAAATAAATCAAAAACAAAGAGAACATATTTTCATAATATTAAAACATGAATATATATATATATATATATATCTAATCAATTTTAGTTTCAAATGTTACAACAACAACAACAACAACAATATAAAAATTATTAAGAAGTAAAGTTAAGTAATGGATCTGTTTGAATCTTCATAAATTCAAGGATTAATTATAATGATTTATATAAATCAATGATAAATAATAAATGTTAACTAACGTGACGAAATTTCATTGATTTGAAAAGATATTCAGAGACAGAAATCAGTACACATGAGAGTTTGACCATGAATATCTTTTGAACGCTTTATTTAATCGCCAAAACATAAGACACCATTTTTATAGAGCACTTAATTTCCTATAAGAATTTGTATTGCACATTTTATAATAATCATTTATTGCCGAGTTATAAAATTCATCAAAAAAAAAAATGAAATTTGTCTGAAAATAATCAAACTTAAATCTTCAATATCATTCAAATGGTGAGGTTTACGAAAAAAATATAAGATACCTTTTTTGTAGAGCATTAAATTTCCTACAAAATTTGTCTGAAACATTTTTCTGTACAATCAATAAATAATTAGGTATGAATTTTAATCTGTTGGACTGAAAAATAAAAAACTGCGATGCTGAGGATCTTCCTATTAAAATGAAGAGCTCATATTTGGTGAGAATTTTTTTAAGGTGTCTACCAACCCATTTTTCCGTAGCACTTGCAAAAAAATATATATATATATATAATAAAATTAATTATATATATATATATGTATTATTATTTAATAAAAAAAATTATGGTTGCATTGTGTATTAATAAAATTAATTAATATCTTATTATTTAATAAAAGTTAATTATTATATTGTGTTTTAATAAAATTAATTATATATATGTATTATTATTTAATAAAAAAAATTATGGTTGCATTGTGTTTTAATAAAATTAATTAATATCTTATTATTTAATAAAAGTTTATTATTACTACAATGTGTTTCAATAAAATTAATTATATTTATATATATTATTATTCAATAAAAAAAATTATTACAACACATTATCATTAAATAAATATTAATTAATATATTACAATTGAATAATTTAATATATTAAAATATAAATATATATATATATATATAGAAATAAAAATAAAATGAAAGTTTATGGTACCCGGATTAAAATAAAAATACCTGAAAAGTAGTAGGGATTTGATTTAGGTCTTTCGTTCAGAATAATTGGTCAAAAAAAAAAAATAAAAATAAAAAAAATATAAAAAGAAATGTAGATAAAAAGATAAGAAAAAAAAAAAAAGAAAAGAAAAGATAATTTAGCCAGAGGCATAATCGAACAAGGTCTTTGAAGCCTGAGGCAAATGAACACCTTGATCGAAAAGCAAGCAACCAGGTAAGTGAGCATATGGTCCCACTATAACATAAGTATAGTAATTTCTCCTTTCATTCGATTCATGTGTCGTCATTAATACCCTAAGGACAAATATTTAGATATTTCCTATTACTACTACTACTACTACTACTACTACTACTACTACTACTATTATTACTACTAAAACTAGTACTATTGGTGATAAAGTTTCACTTCATTGAAATTTAACATAAACTAATAGAAAAATCTATCATTTATCTTTATAGAGATAAATCTAATATCTAATCTAATATCTAATCTAATATCTAATCTAATATCTCTATGTTTATCTCACATTCATGAGATATAATATTCATTTGATTCATTCGTTCAATCGATTAGGTTCTATCAACACTATTTATACAAATCAATTGATTTTATGTATTCTAAGAACACTCTTATCATTATTATTATTATTATTATTATTATTATTATTTTTTTTTTATTTTTTTTTTCCTAATGTTTGTTCTGATAAATTATGAATGATTTTCATACATAGTTTTATTATTATTATTATTATTATTATTTTGGTTCTTGATTATGTAATCTTTATTTTGTACTTTGTAATATAAATGTTTTTTATTATACAGGTATTTTAATTAAAATATAATTTACCTTTGAGATGAATATTTTAAAATTATTTATTATATATTATATTTACAATAATAATAATAATAATTATTATTATTATTTTGGTTAATGGTTATGTAATCTTTATTTTGTACTTTGTAATATAAATGTTTTTTATTATACAAGTATTTTAATTAAAATATAATTTACCTTTGAGATGAATATTTTAAAATTATTTATTATATATTATATTTATAATAATAATAATAATTATTGTTATTATTATTTTGGTTAATGGTTATGTAATCTTTATTTTATTCTTTGTAATAAAAATGTTTTTTTATTATACAAGTATATTTTAATTAAAATAATTTATTCTTGATGAATATTTAAATATTATTTATCCTGTCCTTCTCTTTTTACATATATATATATATATATATATATATATATATATATATATATATATAAGAAAGTAATTTATATTAAAAAAATATTGCAAGTAAGAAAATCAATTAATTTATTATTATAATTTATGATTTGTGTTCTATATATAAACAATTAATATATATATATATATATAATGATTATTATGAATATTATTATATAATTAAATAACATTTGATTTTTAATATGATTTTGTAATCTTTAATTTTGATTTTTCGTACGATTTTTCAATTTACATGTACCTTTCTTTTTTTGTTGTTTTTTTGTTTTTTTTTTTTTAACTTAAATGTAAGTGTGATTGATATTTTAATTTTGAATAACGCGTGTCGTGTGTGTACGAAAAAATTAATTGACAGAATACAACATAATTAGTAAATGACATTGCACTTGTATTATAATTCATGTTATTCATCATGTTTTTTTCATTTAATCTCATATAAATATTTCTTTTTTTAATTTCTTTTTTTTTTTGTCCACCACGAATTATTCTTTTTAATTTCATTTGCAAAATTATTTCCAACACTTTAAAAATGTGTTTGTAATTTGTGTTTTTAATTTAATGAAGAAAATAAAACAATTTTAAAATATTATTTCTATTATTTATTTAATATTATTAATAATAATTAATAATTAACATGTTTAATGCATTTATTATTTGAAAAAAAAAAGAAAATAAATTTAATTAAGAATTTTATTTATAATATTTATCAGTTTTAATGTTTTTATTATTTATTAATTAATATTTAATATATTATTTAATTATTAATTATAACATAAATAATTTATATATTATTTAATATTTATATTATTTGTGAAATAAAATAAAGTAAATTAATTTTAATTAAAAATATTATTAATAATATTTTTCAATTTTAATGTTTTATTATTTATTAATTAATATTTAATATATTATTTAATTAATATTTATAACATAATTAATTTATATATTATTTAAT